TTTGTCATTTTTCACACAAAAGTCAGGGTCCATTTGACCCGCTAAATATTGACCGATCTTTATCAAAACTGGCATGATTATTCTTTGGCCCAATCCCCTTCTCCATGTAAAAATTGGAGATGTTTGGGCCATAATTGCGGCCTCTGGAGCGACCAGAAAACCCGACAAAAATTAAGTATTTGGTCCATTTCATCCCCTAAATATTAACCGATCTTTACCAAAAACAATAGGGGTCTTCATTGGCCAGAACCCATCCTACATGCAAAATTTCGTGAAGATTGGTCCATAGCTGTGGCCTGTATCGTGTTTACAAATTATAATGGACAGACGGACGGAAGGACGGACGGACACACATGTCTAGATCGACTCAGCTAGTCGAGATATTACGATCGGTATACTTAAAGGTGGGTCTAAGACCAATATTTTGATTATCAAAGTTTGAATTTTTTTAAAAATGATATTTTTGACAGATTATCCAAGAGTGGAATTTTTAAATAATATTTTTTGAGAGATTTCAAACGAGAGGTTATTTTTTGAGAGATAATTCAAGTGTGTGGGACATAGGGGGTGAGAGAAACCAAGCAACGGCTCTGATTGGCTTTAATGTGGCGATGTCCATGCTTATCTTGGTCCCTCTTTAATCTCAATTGTGGACATTGACTCCCCCGCGGTGTCACCTGGGGTAGCTATTTTCATCACCCGTTGAAATAGTAAGCTAATATGTGCCGCGAGTTCACCCATAAGAACTGTAAATAAAATGGGTTGATGCGTCGGGTTAGTTGTCCACACTCGGAAAACCCCTCCTACTATGAAAAAGCAAAGAAAAAGAAAACCTAACCCCCCAATGATGACGACCCCCGCAAACATATAAAGGACCACGATATGCGAATCTGCCCTTGGAATGTGCGCACGTTGTACAGAACAAGCGCAGTGTTCGCTTTGGCGGATGTACTCAAGAAGTACAAAATCGATATTATTGCCTTACAGGAAATGCGATGGATCGGGACAGGCGTAAGTAAATCAGATGATTACGCACTGGTTAACAGGAGAATAAAAGACCTCGTCTCCAGATTCACTCCAGTAGATGAGCGAATTGCTATAATCCGTATAAAAGCGAAGATTTTCTACATCAGTCTTATTTGCACCCATGCTCCGACCGAAGACAAAGATAAGCATGTCATAATTTACGAGCGCCTAGAAACAGCACATGATTGCTGCCCTGGCCATGACATTAAAATTCTGCTAAGAGATTTTAATGCAAAAATCGGAAGGGAAAATATATTTGGCCCCACCGTCGGAAAATTCAGCCTTTTTTTGAAGAAACATCCGACAACGGCATGCGGTTGATTGACTTCGCGGTAGCAAAAAACATGGTAGTTAGCAGCACCAGATTCAGCATCTCGATATACACAAGGCCACCTGGATCTCTCCTGATCAAGTAACGTGAAATCAAATTGATCATGTTGTGATAGACGGAAGGCATTCATCCAGTGTTTTAGACGTCCGATCGATCCGAGGAGCGAATATCGATTCGGGCCACTACCATTACCTTGTTGCAGCCAAGGTACGCAGTCGTCTTAATGTTGCAGCGAAGGTGCGATCTAACACAACACGGAAACTCGACGTCGAAAAGCTGTAAACGCAACAGATAGCCGAAGCCTACTCCGCTCAACTTATCCATCTGCTTGAAGAAAGCCGTTCTTGTCCCGATAATAGTATAGAAGCACAATGGCAAAGAATTGCCCACACCCTACAAACTGCAGCAAAAGCAACACTTGGGTACCAAAAACAACCACCAAGAAACCCATGGTACGATCAGGAGTGTCGTAATGCTACTGATGTGAAAAACGCAGCGTATAGGGCAACCCTGCAGGCAGTAGCAACACGTAATGTGATGGAGAATTATCAGGAGAAAAGGAGAGAGGAGAAAAGTGTTTTCACAAAAAAAAAGAAGAAAGAACAAGAAAAACGTGAGCGTGAGCAAATCGAGATGTACAGGAGTCAAAATGAAGTCCGGAAATTTTACCAACGAGTAAAACACCTAACCGAAGGCTTTGGTGCAGGCACATCGTCCTGTAGAGATGAAGAAGGAAACCTGGTGACAGATACAGACAGCGTGTTGAGGATCTGGAAGGAGCATTTCGAAAAGCTTCTAGTATCAAATAGTGGCGATGAAGAAGATACCCCAGAACCAATAAGAGATGATGGTATAGAGTGTATACCACCTAGCCAAGATGAGGTCATAAAAGCAATTAATCGGCTCAAGAACAATAAAGCAGCAGGAGTCGATGCACAAAAAACGTGACAAGACGATATGTGCCAACTATAGAGAAATAAGTCTCCTTCCCATCGCATATAAAGTGCTATCCTGTGTGTTACGTGCACGATTGAAGCCAATGGTCAATGACATTATTGGACCATACCAATGCGGCTTCAGACCTGGCAAATCCAAAGAGATTTTTCGGAGATTAACATTTTAAATCATTTTTGTAGAGATTTTTTTCAATTACTTTTTTTGGAGAGATTAGTTTTTATACCCTCCACCATAGTATGGAGGGTATATTAGTTTTGTTTTTCCGTTTGTAACGCATCGAAATAATCATTTCCGACCCTATAAAGTATATATATTCTTAATCAGCGTAAAATTCTATGACGATCTAAGCATGTCCGTCTGTCTAACTGTCTGTCTGTCTGTTGTAATCACTCTAGCGTCGAAACGAATTGAGATAGAGCGCCAACATTTTGCATAGAGTCGTCTTTTGTCTGCAGGCAGGTCAAGTTCGAAGATGGGATACATCGGTCCACGTTTAGGCATAGCTCCCATATAAGGGTACCCCCCAATTTTCCGTATTTTGGGGTTCTTGAGCGCATTTTTCAACCGAATTCGCTGAAATTTGGTATATTGAGTTGCTATTGGGTTCCCAATTTATCCACTAAAAATTATTCATATAGGTCCATTTTTTCTGGTAGCTCCCATATAACGGTATCCTCTAATTTTCAGTATTTTGGGGGTTTTGATCGTAGTTTTCAACCGAATTGGCTGTAATTTAGTACTTTGAGTTCTTATTGGGTAGCAAATCTCCCCACTAAAAATTATAAACATAGGTCCATTTTTTCTGGTAGTCCCCATATAAGGGTACCCCCAAATGCCGGTATTTTAGGGTTCTTGAGCGAGTTTTTCAAGCGAATTCGCTGAAATTTGGCACATTTGGTTCTTATTGGGTTCAAAATATCTCCACCAAAAATTATAAATATAGGTTCAATTTTTCTGGTAGCCCCCATATAAGGGTACCCCCCAAATGTCGGTATTTTGGGGTTCTTGAGCGCGTTTTTCAAACAAATTCGCTGAAATTTGGTACATTTGGTTCTTATTGGGTTCCAAATATCTCCACCAAAAATAATAAATATAGGCCCAATTTTTCTGGCAGCCTCCATATAAGGGTACCCCCAATTTTCGCTATTTTGAGGTTCTTGAGCACGTTTTTGAACCGAATTCGCTGAAATTTTGTATTTTGTAGTCGTATATGGTAAAAAATTTCTCTACAAAAAATTATTAACATGCAGCCCCTTTTTGGGGTAGTCCCCATTTAACCCCCTTTTTTAGATTGAAATAATTATGTAATTTGTTCTGCGTTTTGGGTTTGGTTCTAAGACTCTGTTGTAATCATATCACCAGCGGATTATATTGAGATAAAAAACTAGAACGTAAGGTTCGATAATGAACTATATATGAACTATAACCCGTATTTAGACCTAGCCCCTGTGTGGGAGGTACCAGAAGGAGTGCACCGATATTCCCCATCTTCGAACTTGAACTATGTTTGAAAGAAAAAATAAGATGGCCTAAGTTTGGATGAAATCAAAATTTTCTGAAACAAATTTGGTCCAAAGAAACATGGGGTCCAGAACCATTTTAACCGTGTCAAAGTGTATACACCCTCATTATCCATAAAGATGTGGGTATAATTGTCCATTAAAAATTTCTGAAATTTGTTTTATAGTTTACATTTTGGTTTACATAACCGATTTGTGGAAATTTCGATATAGGTGCACTTTTTGGTAATTTCCCTATATTTCCATTTCAAGTACCTGTCAGTATATCTATGGTGGAGGGTATCCAAAGTTCGGCCCGGCCGAACTTAACGCTTTTTCACTTGTTAAAGTTATATTTGGAGACAATAATTTTTTTCTATGTTTTTTCAAGAGATTATCCTAACGTTAGTTGATTCTTTAAACATAACTTTTGGAGAGATTATTTTTTTAATTATTTTTGGAGAGATAACCAAAACGTAAACTGAAAAAAAATGTTTTGAATAAATTACCCATGGAATTTTTGACAAATTTTTTGAAGATATTACGGACTACAATATTACTTATATTAATTAAAAAAAAAACATTTTTTTTTTTGGCGATTATCCAAGGGTGCATTTTTAAAAAATTATTTGTGGAGACATAGTCTAACTGCGGATTTTTTATAAATTATTTTTGGAGAGATTATCCTTATAAGAATTTTTTAAAGATCATCCAAACATGAATTTAAAAAAAAAATTTGGAAAAATTCCAAGCTTGCAATTTTTCAAAATTATTTTCGGATATTTTAAAAATTAGTGAATAATTTTATACCTAATTTATTATGGAATGACTCATTTGCCCCCAAATTTCCATTTGTCTCCATAAAATGAGAGCCCAACCGAAAAAAACAATATGTATTTTACAATAATGAGAAGACCCCACGACACACATTCGTAAAAAAGTGAGAGCGACGTTTCTCACTGAAATACTATTCATGTCATGCCATTGAGCGTTGAGAATATGCCGGTCCCGCCATTGAAAATAAAAAAACAGAGATAACGACAAACGACGACACAAAACGCACCAACAAAAGAATGCTGACCAAAAAAAATGTATAAAAATTTAGTGAAGACCTTAGTTCAGTTCACTACGAAGTGTCGATTGAGCCGGTAGTCTTACGCAGTTTTCTTTTTGTTTTCTAATTAAATAAAAAACACAACAACAACAACAGCAAAATGTCCGCCTTGGATTTATTGACTTTCGATAATGCCGTCTTCAAAGCCTATATCTTCTGGAGTGCTGTTTTGGTGGTGAAAATGATGTTCATGTCGCTGTTGACTGCCATGCAACGTTTCAGGACTAAGGTAAGTGGGTTGGAACTAAAAAAAAAACAAAAAACCAAAATTGAAAAATTGAATGGAATTTGTTGTTGCTTTTCGATTTTATTTTTTTATTATCAGAGTGGAATAGTTCAAATGATCAAATAGCTTGGCATTTAGAAAGAAATAAATATAAATATTACAGGTGCGACTATCAATGGTTAAAAAAACTGATAAAGTTGTGTATATAATATATGTATGTTTGTATGTGTTTTCCAGTAAATTATGAAAGTCAAAGTTCAATGAGTTATCTTTAGATTTCATTAATCCGAAAACAAAGCTCATGTCCGATCAGGTGTTGCCTTAGAAACGAGCAAACAAAAATTGGAAAAATATGACCACTAACAAATATTTACGTACGAGATGACAAAGCAATTTTGAAAATATTACCTGACGAACTGAAGAGGATTTCATAAGTTTGTTTTTGGTTTTATTGTAAATATTTATATAGCCAAATCAAATATTGAAATATAAGTAAGGTGGGGCTGAATCAATGGTTGATATATTAATAACTTGCTATCAGTACTCAACAATCGGTAAAACTTCCGCAGAATACCAGATCAAATTTCTACTCATAATTACATACTGATATTTAATAAACCTTAGTTGGTGACTTTAAAAACTTCTCACAAATTTTGATAGGTGGTCGAGGATTTTTAGCCATTACAATTCATGCTTCTAACAAATATGTATCTAGACTTTTCCATACTTAAGGTGAGGCTGAATCAACGTTTGATATATCAAAAACTTGCTATCAGTACTCAACAATAGGGTAAACTTTCGTAGAATATCAGATTCTATATCAAATTACAAATAATTACACCCAGATATTTAATGGACCTTGATTTTTTTAACCTGGCATAATCTGCCAATTATACATGAGTCGTATTTAATACGCACCTGCAGTACTTTCTCATCATGTGCCTATAGAAGAGGCTCACATCACCATATTTCATCAAAAAATAGCAAATTCTATGTATCAACTTTCGTATATACATGTTGAACTATACGTGACCAAACATCTTAATGAAATCAAAAAATACACCATCAAATTATTTGTATCCCGAAATCAAGTCCATGGCAAATATTTTCTACTATCAGTAACACGGACCTTTCTATAATGTATATAACCTCAAATTTTTTTCCAACAACATCCATGGACGAATAATTAGGAGTTTTGTTTTTTACCCTGGCATAATCTGTCAATAAAACATGAATGGTATTCAACTTGCACCTGCAGTACTTTCTCATTCATGCGCCCATGAAAGGAGGAACTCACATCACAATTGTTCTCCAAAAAATATCAAATTCTTTTTATCAACTCATGTATATAAAGCTCAAATATACTTTTGAATTTATTAATTAATATCCAATGATTTACGAGATCAAACATCTTGATGAAGTCAAAAAATACACCAACAACTTCTTTGTATCCCGAAATCAAGTTCATGGCAAATATTTTCTACTATATGAAATACAACTGGACCATATGTACCACAGTCCTTTCTAAAATGTATGTATCCTCAGATTTCTTTAAGAATAACATCCATGGACGTACATATATTATCGAATCCGCAGCTTTATCTCACATTTAAGGCCTCAATTTTATTCAATAGATGAGTTCTGTCAATTGGCTGGCATAGAAAATTTACCACTTTTCATTGCAGAATCATATCGTTGTATTGATTATCCCTTCCCTTAGAAACCTGTTCATAGGTTTCAAAATTTTAAATTACAGTACTATCACCCCCATCAAAAACAACATATCCAATATATCATCCGAACCAATTTTTTTGTTCAGAAATTACAGCACATCGAAATTTTTCTGCAAAGAATTATTCGGCCTTCTTTCTATAATGTTTGTAAACTCAGATTTCTCTAACAACATCCATAGCTGTATATTATCGAATCCGCAGGTTTATCTCGGATTTTATGTCTCAATTTTATTCAGCAGACGAATTCTCTCAACTGGACGTAAAGAAAACTCAGCACTTTCCATTACAGAATCCTTAAAAAAAAATTTACAGCTTTCCATTACAGAATCCTATCGTCATTTTGATCCAAAAAACCCGGAATGCCTAATTACATCAGATCAAAAGAAATCGAAAATTTTTGTCCATGGCTGTATATTATCGAATCCGCTGCTTTATCTAAGATTTATTGCCTGTTTTCATCTTTTATTTTTATGTCACGTTGAAACTGGGCATGCAATGGCCGCAAGCATCCTTTAAGGGAAACTTTTGTATGCCCCTAAAATATTTCGTTTGATTTCACTTGCGTGAACGTTGAGGCAGATAAGAATTTTAAGATATCTGCACTTTTGACTTTCCCGCATAGAAATACTTGAAAGTGCTGTTTGTGCTTGTAAGTCAAAACTACTGTATCGTGTTCTCTATCATAAATAATTGTTCTCTCTAGCTAAATAACTCCTCAATCTTGTGAACCCCTCACTCATCCTCCAACTGATATTGTCGGATATTTTTCGCCAACTCAAGTTCGGCCTCAGGAACAGTTGCAACCTTCAGAAGGTTGCATTAGCTTAAGCTCCAAAAACTTCACAGTGTGCTTTGCATCAGAAACATTCAGAAAATAGCATTAAGTCTACTTCCAAAGACTTAAGATTATGTATGTTTGTAGCCTCATGTTTTCTCTAGGTCAGGACGCTTATTTGTAGTCTTCAATTTTCCTTCAAGGCTAACATTGACATTTTAAGTTGTGTTCTGGGAAGCGTCCTTTGTTGTGGTTCCTAAGAAACGATTTTCCTTCTTCAAATATCCATCAGATCCCTTAGAATATTGATAACAAATCTAATTTTGGCATCTTCAGTTGTCTTCAGGACATCTTCTACTTTGTTAATGTGTGTTCGGTTTATTTAATCAACTGTGATAGTAAGAAAAGATTTTCTTTCTTCAATTCTTGTAAATCTAATTCTATACTAATTAATTTTAGAAAGTGTGACCATATTTCCATAAATGTGTGAAGAAACAAACATCATCGAATTTTTGTTTCATAATATACATGATGAAAGTTGAAGATTTTCATTTGGACGCCATTATCAAAGGTCAATGTCTTTGGTGTTACTTTCTCTCTAACATTCGTCTTTTTCTTAATGAAGAGAGAAAACTTCATTGGTAAAAAACGGAACACAATACCGGTGAAATAATAGATCGAACCTTAGCAATTTGTTTTCATTCATGTTCATAAGCACGGGTTTCGTATTTAGGAATAAGCTAAATAAGCATGACTTGCAAATTCCGATAAATTATTAATTCAATATTTCAATAAAATTTATTGATTCACAAAAAAATCTTAAACTTTGTTAGACATGTTTTTTATGCGCTAAAAATGATGGAATATGTAATATATTTAATTTGCATATGTATGGAAAACAAACGAGTGTGCCACACTCCCTAATTTACTGAGAGCGAGGGAGAGATATAAACAAGCTGAAAACGAGAGAACGCATTGTTGTTGGCACATAACCATTTGTTTACAGTTATCTTGAAGCGAGCAAAAGTCATCAACTTTTTAAATAGCCGCATGGGCATGACTTGCCATTAATGAATAGTATAACCGGTCTAAAGGCCAAATAGACTAACTAACATTTTTATATGTTTTTCTTATTGATGAGAGCTTGGAATCCGGTTCTTTTTTCATAAGGAACGATTTTCTCCTTCAATTCTTGTATTTTGTCCCTAGCCGATCTTTAGCATATTTATTGGGAATAGCATCAGTTGTGCACCTTGGAATCTTCAGTTTTCTTCTGGACACCTTCTACTATTTTACTGTTTTCGTTTTATTTGATCAACTATGATCCTGTGGCAAGATTTTCTTTCTTCAATTCTTGTAATTCTTCTCTGTCGGATACTTACCTTGCTAAATCTTCTTTCAATCTAGCACATTAATTTTGCGAGATATCTTACACTCTTTGTTCCTTCGTTGACATTGGCGACCATTGGCCTGGCCATCTCATCATCGGTTATGCCGCAGAAGCTAAACCTTCAGAATGTTGCTTTAGCTAAAATTTCAAAGTCTGCAGAGTGTGGTTTTCATAAACCGTATTAATAAAAAAAATCCCAACAGAGTTTCGCATCCTCAGCATATTGGACTCAGCCCCTCTCGTCTTTGGACTGACCGTGGGGATCTTTTTTCGGTCAATTCATTACACTCGGGATCCATCCCAAGAAGCCAAACCATCCGAATAGTGACAGAACATTAAGCCGAGCCTAAAACAGATTTCTAGGCGCATCAGTCTTGCGCGCAACATTTCCAATTTGAAGGACCATGTTTCGAAATGTTGTCATCCTCTAAAACTTTGCATCTTATTCGTGGCCTTTCCCCTCGGCGTGAGCCATCAGATGCCTCATCCATTTTCACAGCCTGACTTAGCCAATGCAGTTGCTGCAGCTCGATACGTCTGACAATGCCGATGTCCGAGAATAGAGGTTACAACTCATGCGAATTTTTCCCTCAACCACTCCACGTCTGCTTGCGCAAGTACCCATGTTTCAGATCCATATAACAGCACGGTTAGTATCAGTGTCTTGTAGAGTGTGAGTCCAAGTTTACTGGACGTCTTTCGCGTTGATACCATCAGCTTGATCATCTCGCCATTTACTGCCACACCAACTTTGGCAGACTCCTTGTCAATTTGTTCAAAGGTGGCTGTTACAGCTCGCAATGTTCGATCCATTATATCGATGTCATCTTTGCCTCTCTTATGACCTTTTCCAGCAGGATGTAAAAAGATCTCACGATAAACTGTCACCTTGTCTGAAACCTTTTTTGGTATTAAAGGGCTCCAATAAGTCCTTTCCGGCTTTAACTGGTGATCTTGTTCCAGTTAAAGTTATCCTGCATAGCCGTATTAATTTTGCAGGTATGCCGAATACAGACATGGCTTTAAACACCTCTGTGCGGATTGGGCTGTTGAATGCGTCTTTGTAGTAGACGAATATGCGGAATATGTCCATGTGTTTCTCTTGGGTCTTTTCTAGGATTTCGCGCAGATTTAAAATCTGGTCAAGTGTGGATTTGCCTTGTGTCACTTAAAGTTATCCTGTACTAATTTTGCAGGAATACCGAATACAGACGCGGTTTTAACAACCTCTGCGCGTATTATCCTGTCGTATGAGGATTTTTAGGCGACGAATAGGCAAAAATGTGTCGATGTGTTTTTCGGGGGTCTTTTCCAAGATTTGGCATTTGAAGCCGCATTTGTATGATCCAATAATGTAATTGGCCATTGGCTTCAGTCGTTCACTTAGCGCGCTGGATTGCTCTTTATATGCGATGGGAAGGAGACTAATTAATAGTTGGTACATATCGTCTGATGAGGATGCAGAGGTTACAATCATTGGGCATGCATTTCTCTTATCGAATTGTACTAATCAGCTGATGCATGCTCCTGACAGTCTTGAATAGTTTGGTTCGTAACCGAAAACTGATAATCGAAAACTGCTGGTTTATTATTCCTCAACCGATTGATTGCTATTCTGACCTCATCTTGTTTAGGTGGTATACATTCTAAACCGTCATCTCTTATTGGTTCCGAGATATCTTCTTCACCGCCTCTATTTGATACCAGCAGCTTTTCAAAAAGCTCCTTCCAGAATCTGAACACGCTGTCTGTATCTGTCACCAAAATTCGCCACTTCTACTAGTCTCAGCCACTGATCAATGGGACGAAGATGTGTGGACTGAATTCGACATGCAAATAAATGACCTGTATCATGCGAGCTCTGCTTGCAATTTGGACAAATGTCTTCGATCCCGGCAACTCTCGCTTGATGTGTGTTTAGGAAAGCTGCGCTATGGTGGTTATAGTTCTTTTCGGCAGGTACTTCTCAGTTTCGGCGACCGCTGGTGTTTGACAATTAGGGTAATTCGATTTCTATCACAAATATCGTTTTGATTTATACTTTGCACATTTTTGGGGCGAAAAAAACTTCCTGTGGAGGGAAAATAGTCATTATAGGTCCATAGTTATTCTAAATATTTGGTTATTATCTATTGGCCACAATTCCATCTTTAAAAAAATTATGTCATTATATACAATAATAATATCTTTTTTAATCATTTTACAGACCTTCGCCAATCCCGAAGATTGCATGTCCAAGAAAGACAAGGTGACCTATGATAATCCCTACGTTGAACGTGTTCGCAGGTAAGTTAATTCACAGTAATATCTTCCAGATTCTAGAATTTATTTAACATGTTTTTGTCTCCTCTTCGTTTTTTTGCAGAGCCCACTTGAATGATATGGAAAACATTTTCCCATTCTTTGCTGCCGGTTTCTTCTACGTCATGACCAATCCCAGCGCATTCTTGGCCATCAATTTGTTCCGTGCCGTTGCTATTGCCCGCATCGTCCACACCTTGGTCTATGCCGTTGTTGTTGTTCCACAACCAGCCCGTGCTATTTCCTTCTTTGTTGCCTTCTTGGCCACCGTCTATATGGCCGTGCAAGTTATCATCTATGCCTTGTAAGGATATGACATTGTGATGTTGCACTAAATACTTGTTTTCGAAGTATTTACGCAGAGAAGAAAGTTTTTTTTCAACTATTTATGTACATTCGATTGTAAAGTGTATAGGTTCATTTTCTACATATTTTAATAAAAAAACAAAGTAAAATAAGAAAAATGTGATCTGATGTTGATTTTTAATGCAAGTGGAGAATTAAAATTTCGAACTGAATAGGCTGCATTTTATCTCTTGACAACAAATCAAATTTTTAGTCGATTTTGCATTAGTCGGTAAAAATCGAAAATCGATTTGCCAACTATGTAGGTATTACCAAAGTAGATATTCTATGAAGAAAACCTTTCAGTTCTGTTATGAATAAGAAGAACTTCAGCTTTTCTATGAAAAAGGCCTTAAGCGCATCAAAGAAAATAAAGACTTTAAGTTATTCTAAGAAAAAGAATACCTTAAGCTCTTCTAAGAAAAAAAGACCTTAAGCTCCTTTTCCTATGGAGAAGACTTTCAACTCTTCTGGAAAAATAACTTCAGCTATTCTATGAAGAAGATCATCTATGAAGAAGATCTTGAGTTAGACGAAGAAGAAACAATTGAGCTCTTCTATGACAAAGAAGACCTTCAACTCTTCCAAGACGAAGAAGACCTTCAGCTCTTCCAAGACGAAGAAGATCTTCAGCTTTTCTATGAGGAAGAAGAAGACCTCCAGCTCGTCTACGACGAAGAAGAAGACCTTCAGTTCTTCTATAAAGAAGAAGACCTTCAGCTCTTCTATGACGAAGAAGAAGACCTTCAGCTCCTTTATGACCAAGAAGAAGATCTTCAGCTCTTCTATGACGAAGAAGAAGACCTTCAGCTCTTCTATGACGAAGAAGAAGAATACCTTCAGCTCTTCTATGACGAAGAAGAAGACCTTCAGCTCTTCTATGACGAAGAAGCAGACCTTCAGCTCTTCTATAACGAAGAAGAAGACCCTCAGCTCTTCTATGACGAAGAAAAAGAAGACCTTCAGCTCTTCTATGACGAAGAAGAAAACCTTCAGTTCTTCTATGACGAAGAAGAAGACCTTCCGCTCTTCTATGACGAAGAAGAAAACCTTCAGGTCTTCTATGACGAAGAAGAAGACCTTCAGCTCTTCTATGACGAAGAAGAAGACCTTCAGCTCTTCTATAACGAAGAAGAAGACCTTCAGCTCTTCTATGACGAAGAATACCTTCAGCTCTTCTATGACGAAGAAGAAGACCTTCAGCTCTTCTATGACAAAGAAGAAGACCTTCAGCTCTTCTATGACAAAGAAGACCTTCTGCTCTTCTATGACAAAGAAGAAGACCTTCAGCTCTTCTATGACAAAGAAGAAGGCCTTCAGCTCTTCTATGAAGAAGAAGGCCTTCAGCTCTTCTATGACGAAGAAGAAGGCCTTCAGCTCTTCTATGACGAAGAAGAAGGCCTTCAGCTCTTCTATGACGAAGAAGAAGGCCTTCAGCTCTTCTATAAAGAAGAAGGCCTTCAGCTCGTCTATGAAGAATAAGAAGATAACCTTCAGCTCTTCTATGACAAAGAAGAAGACCTTCAGCTCTTCTATGACAAAGAAGAAGACCTTCAGCTCTTCTATAAAAAGAAGAAGGCCTTCAGTCTTCTATGACAAAGAAGAAGACCTTCAGCTCTTCTATGACAAAGAAGAAGACCTTCAGGTCTTCTATGACAAAGAAGAAGACATTCACCTCTTCTATGAAGAAGAAGACCTTCAGCTCTTCTATGCAGAAGAAGAAGACCTTCAGCTCTTCTATGAAGAAGAAGAAGACCTTCAGCTATTCTATGATGAAGAAGAAGACCTTCAGCTATTCTATGATGAAGAAGAAGACCTTCAGCTCTTCTATGAAGAAGAAGACCTTCAGCTCTTCTATGAAGAAGAAGACATTCAGTCCTTCTATGGCAATGAAGACCTTCAGCTCTTCTATGACGAAGAAGAAGACTTTCAGCTCTTCTACGACGAAGAAGAAGACCTTCAGTTCTTCTATGACGAAGAAGAAGACCTTCAGCTCTTCTATGACGAAGAAGCAGACCTTCAGCTCTTCTATGAAGAAGAACAAGACCTTCAGCTCTTCTATGAAGAAGAACAAGACCTCAGGTCTTCTATGAAGAAGAATAAGACCTTCAGCTCTTCTATGAAGTTGAAGAAGACCTTCAGCTCTTCTATGACGAAGAAGACCTTCGGGTCTCTATGGAGAATAAGACCTTCAGATTTTCATACTCCAGCTCTTCTAAGAACATAATCGTACCTTCTGCTCTTCTACAAGAAGAAGACCCTTCAGCCCTGTTATAAGAAGTAGAGTCTCGGCTCTGTAAATAAAGCTCTTCTATAGGGAAACCTTGAGCCCATTTATAAAAAGGCAATTTGTATAAATCATTATTCTCCATATCCATCTATTGGCGCAATTTTTCCCCCAATACCAACCGTATTAAAACAAGTGAAAAAGCGTTAAGTTCGGCCGGGCCGAACTTTGGATACCCTCCACCATAGTTATACTGACAGATACATGCAATGAAAATATAGGGAACATACCAAAAAGTGGGCACATACCGATAATACCGATTTATGTAAACCATTATGTACATTAAATACAAACTTCGGCAATTTTTAATGGGGATTTTTCCTAAAATCTGTATGATCCAAAAAGTGGACTGATATTTATAACGCATTGTAGAGTATGAAATCCTCAAACTACTGTAATTTAGATTACAAAGTTATATGAGGCTATGCCTAAAGAGGGACCAATACTGATTACATAGTGTAGGAAATAGTGAATATTTGGGGATATCATCATATGAGGGCTATGCCTAATTAATGACCGGTATATGCCAATTTTGAACCAAATATTTTAATTGTTTATCTCAATTCTTTCCTTCAGGAGGTATCACGATATTGAGGATATGCCTAAATGTCTGCCGATATATTTCATTATCATCCTGTTTGAGTTTTTTTTATCACAATATCTTTAGAAGGCGGAATGCTTACAACAGATGGCTAAATAGTCTTTGTAGGGTAAAACCTGACTATTCCCCGTAACGACTAACCAACCGCAACACACGGAACAAATCAGTAAACTATTTTAATATAAAAAAGGGGGTTATATGGGGACTACCCCTAAAAAGCGGTGAATATTAATAATTTTTGGTGGGGAGATTTGTTACCATATACGACTACAAATTACCAAATTTCAGCGAATTCGGTTGAAAAACGCGCTCAAGAACCTCAAAATATAGAAAATCGGGGGTACCCTTATATGGGGGCTACCCGAAAAAATTGACCTATATTTATAATTTTTTGTGAAGAGATTTGCTACCCAATAAGAACTCAAATTACTAAATTACAGTCAATTAGGTGAAAAAAACCGGTCAAAACCCCCCAAAAACTGGAAATTGGGAGGTACCCTTATATGGGGGCTACCAGAAAAAGTGGACCTATATTTATAATTTTTAGAGGGGAAATTTGGTACCCAATGAGAACCCCATGTACCAAATTTCAGCGAATTCGGTTGAAAACCGCGCTCAAGATCCCTAAAATACCGAATATTGGGGGGGTACCCTTATATGGGGGCTACCCGAAAAAATTGACCTATATTTATAATTTTTAGTACAAAGATTTGCTACCCAATAAGAACTCAAAGTACCGAATTTCAGCCAATTCGGTGAAAAAATACGGTCAGAACCCCCCAAAAACTGGATATGGGGAGGTACCCTTATATGGGGGCTACCAGAAAAAGTGGACCTATATATATAATTTTTAGTAGGGATATTTTGTACCCAATAAGAACCTAATGTACCAAATTTCAGCTAATTCGGTTGAAAAACGCGCTCAAGAACCTCAAAATACCGAAAATTAGGAGGTACCGTTATATGGGGGCTACCAGAAAAAGTGGACCTACACTAATAATTTTTTGTGGAGGCATTTAGTACCCAATAAGAACCCAATGTACCAAATTTCAGCGAATTCGGTTGAAAAACACGCTTAAGAACTTCAAAATACCGAAAAATGGGAGGTACCCTTATATGGGAGCTATGCCTAAACGTGGACCGATATAGCCCATCATCGAACTTGACCTGCCTGCAGACAAAAGACGACTCTATGCAAAATTTTGGGGCTCTATCTCAATTCGTTTAGACGCTAGAGTGATTACAACAGACAGACAGACGGACAGACGGACATGCTTAGATCGTCATAGAATTTTACGCTGATCAAGAATATATATACTTTATAGGGTCGGAAATGATTATTTCGATGCGTTACAAACGGAAAAACAAAACTAATATACCCTCCATACTATGGTGGAGGGTATAAAAATACATATGGAAATGGTTTAGACTCCGGTGTCAACAGGTTGTTTTACTAACATCTAATTGGGGGGTTGGGGACAACACAAAAGTAAACATGAAAAAACACCGGTATTGATTATGCCGGGAGTGTAGATACAAGACAACATACATATATGCATGTATGTATGTACTACATATGTGTACGGGTGTACGTGTGTCTGTCTGTCTCATCACTATTAGAATATTTATTTGGGCACATTGATGAGGTTATAAATTCTGGAATAGGTTCGCGGTGACTACCAGTTGTCAAAAAACTCTGATTGAATTGGGGGTGCGTGTGGAGATATCCTCCGTTGTGTCGTGTGTAAAAAAGTTTGTGTATGAAGAACTGTTCCCAACAAAACGATTGACAGTGATTTTAATTTACAACTTTAATTTGTGTGTTTTTTTATCCAAAAAAGGAAAAAATCGATTTTTTGTTAAGGTAATGACAACATCATTAGCATACAATTGGCAGCAACAAAAACAAAAATAGTAAATAGTGTGAATATAGCAATACAATGGTAGATATGTCATGTGGTAACAGAGCAGTGTTGAACAGAACTAAATTGAGAGTAAGTGTGTAAGAGCATAACTGAGAGATAATCATCAAAAAATGACTGACAAAAGGAGAAAAAAAGAAAATACGTGTTTTT